CAGACCGAGCCTTAACGTACAGACCGAGCCTTAATGTACAGACCGAGCCTTAATGCACAGACCGAGCCTTAATGTACAGACCGAGCCTTAACGTACAGACCGAGCCTTAATGTACAGACCGAGCCTTAACGTACAGACCGAGCCTTAATGTACAGACCGAGCCTTAATGCACAGACCGAGCCTTAACGTACAGACCGAGCCTTAACGCACAGACTGAGCCTTAATGTACAGACCGAGCCGTAATGTACAAACCGAGCCTTAATGTACAAACCGAGCCTTAATGTACAGACCGAGCCTTAACGTACAGACCGAGCCTTAATGTACAGACCGAGCCTTAACGTACAGACCGAGCCTTAACGTACAGACCGAGCCTTAATGTACAGACCGAGCCTTAACGTACAGACCGAGCCTTAATGTACAGACCGAGCCTTAACGTACAGACCGAGCCTTAACGTACAGACCGAGCCTTAACGTACAGACCAGATCCGAGACTCAATAAGATCATTAAAATCAGCAGCAAAATCATTGGACAGCAGCAAGACTCACTCACAGACATTTACAATTACAAAGTTTTAAGGAAAGGCTCAGATCTCCACAGACAGCTCCCACACTCTGCACTCTCACTACAGTCTGCTCCCATCAGGGCGTAGGTTCAGGTCCCTCCCATTCAAAACAAAAAGGGCCACATCCAGCTTCCTCCCCACCTCAATTCGCCTTTTAAACAGCTAATTTGGTGACCTGTTTTATGTATTTTGTGTTGCATTTCTGCTCTTTTACTGTATTTATTCTTAGATTGCGTGTCTCTGTGTTTTTGTGTACCCCCACCGGTGCTCTGTCTGTAAATGAAGTTCCTCACGGATTAATAAAGTTATTGAATTGAATTGAATTGAATTGAGCCTTAATGTACAGACCGAGCCGTGGTGAGGTCTGTGCAAAAAGACCAAGGTCTGATATTTCTCTGCACAGACCGAGTAAGCGAGGTTAATAAATGTTTTATTATATGACTCTCGTCTGTGTCTTTACCAATGCTTTTGAGATATTTGTGAAGTATGTTCATGTCCGACTTGGTTTTGTGTGATACGCGCTGTTCGGACCAATTGTCATGGTAACGGTCCGAGATGGGAAAATATCAGACCGGTAATCAGCCAATCAGAGCGCGCGTACGATCCAAGTCATATAATAATTATGTTTATGTTTTATTTACTTTTCATTTTATTTTTGTGTGATTTTATTTGTTGTGTCTTTAATATTTCTTGTAATTTTAATGTTTGTTTTTAATCCAATCCAATCCAGTTTATTTATAAAGCACTAATAAAAACAACATGGTTGACCAAAGTGCTATACATAAAAAGACATACACAAATATACATTTAAAAAATACAAAACAGAGGCAAAGAAACACTATTTACAGCAAAAAATCAATTGAAATCAATTAAAAGCCGATGAGAACAAGTGTGTCTTAAGACGAGACTTAACTTAAAACAGGAAGTGACTCAGACAGTCTCACACACAGGGGCAGCTCATTTAATGCTCTCTCTCTCTGTCTCGTTCTGTCTCTCTCTCTCGAGTCACTCTCTTTGGTCTCTCTCTCTCTCATGCTCTATCCTTTCTCTTCCTCTACCCCTCTTTCTGGTCTCTCTCTCTCTCTCTCTTACTCAATATCCCTCTCTCTCTGGTCTCTCTCTCTTTCTCAATCCCTCTCTCTGTCTCTGTCTCTCTGTCTCTCTCTCTCTCTTTCTGTCTCTCTCTCTGTCTCTCTCTTTGTCTCTCTGTCTCTCTCTCTGTCTCTCTCTCTCTCTTTCTGTCTCTTTCTGTCTCTCTCTCTGTCTCTCTCTTTGTCTCTCTCTGTCTCTCTCTCTGTCTCTCTCTTTGTCTCTCTCTGTCTCTCTCTTTGTCTCTCTCTCTCTCTTTCTGTCTCTCTCTCGCTCTCTCTGGTCTCTCTCTTTGGTCTCTCTCTGTCTCGTGCTCTATCCTCTCTCTCTGATCTCTCTCTCTCTTACTCAATCCCCCTCTCTCTCTCTCTTGCTCTACCCCTCTCTCTCTGATCTCTCTCTCTCTCTTACTCAATCCCCCTCTCTCTCTCTCTTGCTCTACCCCTCTCTCTCTGATCTCTCTCTCTCTCTTACTCAATCCCCCTCTCTCTCTCTCTCGCTCTATCCCTCTCTCTCTGGTTTTAATTATATGTGTTATGTTTATGTAGATGTTATTGTTCATGATTCGTGCCTGATGTGATGTGGGTCGTGACACACAGATTTGGACTAATGAAGCCAAAGCATAAATTCAGACTGGAAGAACTAAACTCACAGCGTCCCAACTCCTCCCACCGTCGTTAACGGCAACAGCATCTGTCAATCACACCCAGCTGCAGCGCCACACTGCCCTCACCTGGCAGCGATCAGTCACTGCGCCGCATTAATATCATATCACGAGGAAGCTCCATCCAAGCCTGTCTCTCTCTCTCTGGGTTGACTCTCTGGTCTCTCTTTGTCTCTCTCTCTGTGTCTTTCTGACTCTCTCTCTCTAGTCTCTCTCGGTCTCTCTCTCTGGTCTCTCTTGCACACCCTCTCTCTGGTCTCTCTTGCTCTCCCCTCCTCCTCCCTTCCTCTCTCTCTCACACACCCTTACTCTATCCCTCTCCCCTCTCTCCCTGCCCCCCCCCCTCTCTCTCTCTCCTTCTTGCTCCATCCCTCTCACCCTCCCTCCCTCTCTTCCCGATGAGGACGTTTGAAAGAATGCTTGACTCTCAATCCCAAAAACCCTGCACAGCGGTTTTGGAGTCGTGCGAGATGTGAAGACCACAGAGAGAGAGAGAACACAAAGACTCAGAGATAAAGACCAAAGAAGGAGAGAGCACCTGGGCCGCTGTAGATCTGCCCAATCAAAGACTTCTGAGCCTCTCCCTCTCTTTTCCTTCCCTTTGTTGGTGCTCGGCTGGTGCTGATCTCTGTGGACACATGGTGCAGATCCAGGACTTACAGAGAGAGAGAGAGAGTGGGGATCTGCTGCCACCCGGAGGACAGAGGGGGAACTGCAGGCCATAGATCCTGGCTCAGATCGAGAACTTAAACTGATGTTTTTGTATCATTAGTTTGAACACATGACGACGGTGACCTTTAGCAGAGGCAGAGAGGAGGGACTCAGATCTGTGTGTGTGTGTGTGTGTGTGTGTGTGTGTGTGTGTGTGTGTGTGTGTGCATGAGTGTGTGTGTGTGTATGAGTGTGTGTGTATATATATGTGTGTATGTGTATATGTGAATGTGTATATGTGTACTTACAGTATATGTTTGTATGGTGTGTGTGTAAATGGTGCGTAAGTGTATGTGATTGTATGTGTGTATGCATGTGTGTGTGTGTCTATATGTATATGTGTATGTATTTGTGTATGGTATGTACCTGTATGTTTATGTGTGCGTATGTGTGTATGTCTGTGTGTGTGTGTGTATGGTGTGTGTGCGTGTGTGTGTGTGTATGTCTGTGTGTGTGTATGTATGTCTGTGTGTGTGTGTGTGTATGTCTGTGTGTGTGTGTGTGTGTGTGTGTGTATATGTGTGTGCGTGTCCTTAAGGTGGTAATGATAGGGCATGTGTGTGGGTTATTTTTAAAGTGGGCCAGTCAGCAGAGCGACTATATTTGACTCAGTACAACCTTCAGTTCTTGTAGATAAAGCATAAAGTGACATTTTACTGAAGATTTGGGAAAATAAGGAACGATTCCAGTAAAGACTCTGTTCACCGCAGTCAGTTTGTGTTGTTGAAGGACGAGCGTTTTGTCTGTAGCAGTTGCTAAAATGTAAATTACAACCTTTTTTTATTTCAGTCAGAATTTCTTGTTCTAAGTGATAATGCATGGGTTTGAAACAGTGGTTCTTTTAGACACTTTCTTCTTTCACCCAAACACAGTGGTGACATAATACCACAGTAGCCACAGCTGCCCTGGGGCACACTGACAGAAGCGAGGCAACCAGTCTGTGTCATCAGCCCCTCCCACCTCCACCACCAGACTCATTCAACACTGGAAACATGATCAAATATGTGGCAGTATTTTTTTTAATCTGGTTAGTACTGATACTGTTAGTGATGGGAGACCTCTGGGAACAGCAGGTTCCACAGTGGGGCGGCTGCGGCTGTAACGTGCCAAACTGCTTCTGTGCTTTTGGGCAAGACACTTCATCCACATCCCCTACACTGCAAAAAAAACAATGACAAATACGACAAAAATGGCTCAAATTTGGCAAAATGTATCTTAATTTGAGCACATTGTGACTGCCTTAAAATCAGATTCTCCAGTGGCACAAAGCCATTCAGCCTTATTTTAATAATTGCTGCTTTATTTTCTCATTCCAAGGGAGACATTTCTTGTATCTTTTTAAAACAAGATTATTTTGCTTTGTCCCGTTGTTAAATCTTGTTTCAGGGGAGTCAAAATGTGATCAAATGTAGATACTTTTTGCCAATATTGAGCCTTTTTTAACATATTTTGCATCACTTTTTTGCAGCGTAGGTAATGTGGTTGAAGTGTCTTGCCTAAGGACACAGCCACAGTTTGGCACTTTACAGCCACAGCCGCAGCTGCCCCACTGAAGCACCTGCTGTTCTCTGAGGTCTCCCATCACTAACAGTACCAGCACTAACCAGGCCCTGCTTTGCTTAGCTTCCGAGGTCTGACAGGATCTGGCAGTGGTAATAACCTGGAGCTGAACGCCCAGAAGACAGTGGAGATGATTGTGGACTTCAGGAAGAGCACTGTCCCCCCGCCCCCACCCTCCGTGATGGACTCCCCCATCACCTCTGTGGAGTCCTTCCGTTTCCTGGGCACCACCATCACCAGGACCTCAAGTGGGAGCGACCATCAGCTCCTCATCAAGAAGGCCCAGCAGAGGATGTACTTCCTGCGGCAGCTCAGGAAAGCCAAGCTGCCTGCACAGATGTTGGTGCAGTTCTACACGGCCATCATCGAGTCCATCCTCACCTCCTCCATCACCTCCTCCATCACCTCCTCCATCACCTCCTCATCACCTCCTCCATCACCTCCTCCATCACCTCCTCCATCACCTCCTCCATCACCTCCTCCATCACCTCCTCCATCACCTCCTCTATCACCTCCTCCATCACCTCCTCCATCACCTCCTCCAGCACCTCCTCCATCACCTCCTCCATCACCTCCTCCATCACCGTGTGGTTCGCTGGAGCCACAGTCAGGGACAAACAGAGACTACAGTGCATTGTGCGCTCTGCAGAGGAAGTGATCGGCCGCAGCCTTCCATCGCTGCAGGACCTGTACGTCGCCCGAGCTCGAGGCCGGGCTGGTCGTATCACAGCCGACCCCTCTCACCTGCACATGGACTATTCCAACCACTCCCCTCTCACCCTGCACATGGACTATTCCAACCACTCCCCTCTCACCCTGCACATGGACTATTCCAACCACTCCCCTCTCACCTGCACATGGACTATTCCAACCACTCCCCTCTCACCTGCACATGGACTATTCCAACCACTCCCCTCTCACCCTGCACATGGACTATTCCAACCACTCCCCTCAGGCAGGAGGCTGCGGTCCATCAGGACTAGAACCTCCCGCCACAAGAACAGTTTCTTCCCCTCTGCTGTTGGACTCTTGAACACTTCTTAACCTGTCCCCCCGCCCTTTATAAAGTCACTTTACTGCCCATCATACGTCACTTTATTTCACTGTACTGCTGTCACCTTACATTGTGTGCACCATGTGCACTTGTATATTGTAAATAGTAACTGTAACTCTATTTTAAATTTAAATTTATTCCTTAGAAGTGTTTTTATTCTTTATTTTTATTATCTCTTTCTGACTGTTGCACTGAGCCAAAGCAATTTCCAAGTCTGTGACTTCCTGTTACTTACGTGGCAATAAAAATGATTCTGATTCTGATTCTGATCTAGTTTTCACATTCAGAGAAATGAAATGAAACAATAAGAAGCAGTGAAACTATAAATATATAAACAATCCCTGGAGGAACAGTGCCGCAGATTGAGAGGTAGAGAAAGGGCTGCGCTAATAAAATAATTGATTCCTGGCCCTTTGCTAACGAGCTGAGGATGCTGACGTAGATGTTGGAGTGAAAACCTGCTAATGCTGTTGGTGTGCGGAGCCGAGGCCCCGGAGCCGAGGTGAGACTCCGGCACACTCTCGCCTCTCGGCCCCTGCGCTCCGTAATGAGCCGGGGATGCTTCCACTAACTTCAGTCTGCAGCAGAAGAAGAAGAAGAACGAGAACAACAACAACAACAAGAACAACAAGAACAAGAACAACAACAACAACAACAAGAACAAGAACAACAACAACAACAACAACAAGAAGAACAAGAAGAACAAGAAGAACAAGAAGAACAAGAAGAACAAGAAGAACAAGAAGAACAAGAACAAGAAGAACAAGAAGAAGAACAAGAAGAACAAGAACGTGCCAAATCGACAGTTTTAGTGCCGTGCCAAGCATCGCAGCAAACAAGGCGTCGTCTCCAGATTGTCACAGCCTCAGCTATTTAGAGTGGAACTTCACACACCGCAAAACATATTGGATTAAGCCTGGATTTACATATTTTAAACCAAATGCGTTTTTGTGTATTTATGTGCGAACGGTGAGAAAGTGGTTTTACTCTGGGTGCATTTTCAGGTACAGTGTGTTGTCGATGTTTGCAGCGGTCGACTCGGAGAAATTCACAAAGTTTTCGATTTCCTCAGGTCAGGAAACAATAACAAACACACAAGAGACACTGACCATAACCGTCTGGGATCATCACTGTCCTTACACCGTCCTGTAGACCCAGGACTGAGGCTGTAGACCCAGGACTGAAGCTGTAGACCCAAGACTGAGGCTGTAGACCCAGGACTGAGGCTGTAGACCCAGGACTGAGGCTGTAGATCTATCTTAATCAAATTCTACATGATTGGATTTCCCATTTTCAGGAAGACTGTCCCAGGTTTTAGCTGCATAAATCCGCAAGTAGCTTCTGGCCACTGTAATTACCAGTGGGGGAGGGTCCCGGCTCAAAAGTGGCCAAAATAACGTGCGCTGACATGCTGCAATACCGCCCCGGGCCTGTGGGGGTGGACCCAGAACAAGAATTAGCCAATGCTAACATATAGCATCTTCTTACCTCTGGAAAACGTCTTTACAGGATGGTCCAAAAGTTGTCTCTTGGCCCAAAGTGTGTGCCAAGAGCCGTGTGTGTGTCAATGCTGAGGGGGGTGTTCTGGACCAGTCTAGTTTAGCCGCTGTGGACTGTTGAAGTCTCTCGTTTAAATGAACAGGGCTCGTGCAGCTGACACATGCGCAAATACGTTTTTTCACATTTTCCAGCCCCCGCGGCCATTTTGAAACCGCCCATAGACCGCAGAAGTTGTGGCACATTAGTTTGAACGGGGGAGATAGGCGTCACTACGTCCGTTAATATTTATAGTCTATGGTAATTACTCAAATGAAATATCAACACGTTAAAAATCCAATCATTGTGACCCAAACACGGCGTCATCACAGTGCGATGGTGTGAGCTGTGGGACTGCAACAAAACTCATTGAAACCAAATGAAGAAAAAACATTGTAAAACCCAGAGCTGTTATTATTTCTCTCCCCCGTCTCCCCCCTCCTCCCCCCCGTGGCAGTCGTGTGGCCCACTTCCCAAGGCGCCAATAAAGTCCAGGCCACAATATGATCTTCACAACAGCTGTGGCTTGAGATAAAAACCTTAATCAGAGCAGGGCGCGGGGTAATATCATAACCCAAAGCTACTGTGGCCAAACGCCGGTCGATACCGAGAGACGGCGAGACGCGAGGCCGGGACAATTGAAGTCTGCGATAACCCACACCAAAGTATTGTGACCCGCAGAATTGTCTGGGTGTGATGGAAGGACTTAATGAAAGCGCCGGAGAAGTGCCTGCGTCCAAATGAACTCATGATAAACACTTTCGGGGTCGGGCTTTTTCACACACACTGAGAAAAGTGATGAAAAAAAGGCAAAAGTAGCTCAAATCTGGCAAAATGTGTCTTAATCTGAGAAAATCTGACTATGTTAAAACAAGATTCTCCAATGGGTCAAAGCAAAATGATCTTGTTAAAAGATACAGAAAGGTCTCCATTGGAGTGGAGCCTCAGTCCTGGGTCTACAGCCTCAGTCCTGGGTCTACAGCCTCAGTCCTGGGTCTACAGCCTCAGTCCTGGGTCTACAGCCTCAGTCCTGGGTCTACAGCCTAAGTCCTGGGTCTACAGCCTAAGTCCTGGGTCTACAGCCTCAGTCCTGGGTCTACAGCCTCAGTCCTGGGTCTACAGCCTCAGTCCTGGGTCTACAGTCTCAGTCCTGGGTCTACAGCCTCAGTCCTGGGTCTACAGCCTCAGTCCTGGGTCTACAGCCTCAGTCCTGGGTCTACAGCCTCAGTCCTGGGTCTACAGCCTCAGTCCTGGGTCTACAGCCTCAGTCCTGGGTCTACAGCCTAAGTCCTGGGTCTACAGCCTAAGTCCTGGGTCTACAGCCTCAGTCCTGGGTCTACAGCCTCAGTCCTGGGTCTACAGTCTCAGTCCTGGGTCTACAGCCTAAGTCCTGGGTCTACAGCCTCAGTCCTGGGTCTACAGCCTCAGTCCTGGGTCTACAGTCTCAGTCCTGGGTCTACAGCCTCAGTCCTGGGTCTACAGCCTCAGTCCTGGGTCTACAGCCTCAGTCCTGGGTCTACAGCCTCAGTCCTGGGTCTACAGCCTCAGTCCTGGGTCTACAGCCTCAGTCCTGGGTCTACAGCCTCAGTCCTGGGTCTACAGCCTCAGTCCTGGGTCTACAGCCTAAGTCCTGGGTCTACAGCCTCAGTCCTGGGTCTACAGCCTCAGTCCTGGGTCTACAGTCTCAGTCCTGGGTCTACAGCCTCAGTCCTGGATCTACAGCCTCAGTCCTGGATCTACAGCCTCAGTCCTGGGTCTACAGCCTCAGTTCTGGTTCTAGAGCCGCAGTCCTGGGTCTACAGCCTCAGTCCTGGATCTACAGCCTCAGTCCTGGGTCTACAGCCTCGGTCCTGGATCTACAGCCTCAGTCCTGGGTCTACAGCCTCAGTCCTGGATCTACAGCCTCAGTCCTGGATCTACAGCCTCAGTCCTGGGTCTACAGCCTCAGTCCTGGTTCTAGAGCCTCAGTCCTGGGTCTACAGCCTCAGTCCTATGTCTACAGCCTCAGTCCTGGGTCTACAGCCTCAGTCCTGGATCTACAGCCTCAGTCCTGGATCTACAGCCTCAGTCCTGGGTCTACAGCCTCAGTCCTGGATCTACAGCCTCAGTCCTGGGTCTACAGCCTCAGTCCTGGATCTACAGCCTCAGTCCTGGGTCTACAGCCTCAGTCCTGGGTCTACAGCCTCAGTCCTGGGTCTACAGCCTCAGTCCTGGATCTACAGCCTCAGTCCTGGGTCTACAGCCTCAGTCCTGGGTCTACAGCCTCAGTCCTGGGTCTACAGCCTCAGTCCTGGGTCTACAGCCTCAGTCCTGGGTCTACAGCCTAAGTCCTGGGTCTACAGCCTCAGTCCTGGGTCTACAGCCTCAGTCCTGGGTCTACAGCCTCAGTCCTGGGTCTACAGCCTCGGTCCTGGATCTATAGCCTCAGTCCTGGATCTACAGCCTCAGTCCTGGATCTACAGCCTCAGTCCTGGGTCTACAGTCTCAGTCCTGGGTCTACAGCCGCAGTCCTGGATCTATAGCCTCAGTCCTGGATCTACAGCCTCAGTCCTGGATCTACAGCCTCAGTCCTGGGTCTACAGCCTCAGTCCTGGTTCTACAGCCTCAGTCCTGGGTCTACAGTCTCAGTCCTGGGTCTACAGCCGCAGTCCTGGATCTATAGCCTCAGTCCTGGATCTACAGCCTCAGTCCTGGGTCTACAGCCTCAGTCCTGGGTCTACAGCCTCAGTCCTGGATCTACAGCCTCAGTCCTGGGTCTACAGCCTCGGTCCTGGATCTACAGCCTCAGTCCTGGGTCTACAGCCTCAGTCCTGGATCTACAGCCTCAGTCCTGGGTCTACAGCCTCAGTCCTGGTTCTAGAGCCTCAGTCCTGGGTCTACAGCCTCAGTCCTGGATCTACAGCCTCAGTCCTGGATCTACAGCCTCAGTCCTGGGTCTACAGCCTCAGTCCTGGGTCTACAGCCTCAGTCCTGGGTCTACAGCCTCAGTCCTGGATCTACAGCCTCAGTCCTGGATCTACAGCCTCAGTCCTGGATCTACAGCCTCAGTCCTGGGTCTACAGCCTCGGTCCTGGATCTATAGCCTCAGTCCTGGATCTACAGCCTCAGTCCTGGATCTACAGCCTCAGTCCTGGGTCTACAGCCTCAGTCCTGGGTCTACAGCCTCAGTCCTGGATCTACAGCCTCAGTCCTGGATCTACAGCCTCAGTCCTGGATCTACAGCCTCAGTCCTGGGTCTACAGCCTCAGTCCTGGGTCTACAGCCTCAGTCCTGGGTCTACAGCCTCAGTCCTGGATCTACAGCCTCAGTCCTGGGTCTACAGCCTCAGTCCTGGATCTACAGCCTCAGTCCTGGGTCTACAGCCTCAGTCCTGGGTCTACAGCCTCAGTCCTGGGTCTACAGCCTCAGTCCTTGTTACTTGTTATTGGTGAAACTGTTTTGTGTATTTGTAAAGTACTACTCCATATACTGTGTACCTTTCATACTTTCCAACTGAACTAAACACAGTTGACGGATTACTTGAGGTAATAATTGATGAAATACTTGATAATTAAAATACTCGGCTGCAGCTGTAAATCCTGGATGAATGAATTGACTAAACTACGGCTGCTTCTCTCAGCGAGACACTGGAGTGATTTATTGTTGTTATTTTCAGTCCTGCTCGATCGTCCTGAGAACAATGCATTGTTTTGATGTAATATATGTGTGTGTGTGTGTGTGTGTGTGTGTGTGTGTGTGTGTGTGTGTGTGTGTATTCTGTATAGAGTTGCAGGAAGCGTATGGGGAGGGGGAAGTCTGCCAGAGAGACTGCTATAGCCCCATTATACAGGAAGAAGACTGTGGAAAACTTTTAAAAGATTGAGATTAAGATGAAGAGAGAGAGAAATGAACGATAATGTGTAGGACGCAGGTCATTATCGGAAAATAAGTATCTTTAGGTAAGTTTGCTTTACTTTAGGTTCTTTTTATTATACGGCTTTGAGCAAACTGAACACACAAATAAACCTCAGTCCACTTTATGACTGTAAAGTAAACCAAGGGTTTCGCCGTGTAACAGTTAGGCTAGTAACAGTTAGGCTAGTAACAGTTAGGCTAGTAACAGTTAGGCTAGTAACAGTTAGGCTAGTAACAGTTAGGCTAGTAACAGTTAGGCTAGTAACAGTTAGGCTAGTAACAGTTAGGCTAGTAACAGTTAGGCTAGTAACAGTTAGGCTAGTAACAGTTAGGCTAGTAACAGTTAGGCTAGTGACAGTTAGGCTGGTGACAGTTAGGCTAG